CACACACACACACACACACACACACACACACACACACACACACACGAGGAACCTTCCACCCAACTCCCCATATCCGCCAACCACCGCCCTCCAGACAAATTCCCTGATTCCACTCGATATACTTGCTTGGAGGATGTGCTTAGTGCCGGGCCTTGGGCTAGCACATCTTGAGGAGAAATGGAGTGGTAAGCATCTAGTAAGAGTGAATATGGGACTGTAAAAATAACCCACTGCCTGAGCTATCCCCTCAGTCTCCCGAGCTCTGCGGAATGGGAAGAGTAGCCTTGTCCCATGGGAACACCAGGAGGACTAAGGCCTTAACTCAGTACAGACCCTGCTCAGGTCCCCACCCAAACCCTGTCCGCATTTCCATTTGACAGACAAAGAAACCGAGGCTCAGGGAAGAGGTCCACTGTCCCCCTAAGACTACACTCACTACTGTTCCAGCCACACATCCACCTGCCTCACCACCCACCCACACTATCCCGCTGCCTGGAAACAGCCCCCCTCCCAACACACACACACATACACACATCATAGCCATGCCCGGCTCCTTCTGCACCACCTGGGTACACAGTTCCTTCCCCAAGTCCCCGTCCCCTGACCCTTCCATGCCCCCACCTACACCCTACGACTCTCCAGGTCAGCCCTGCTTACTTAGAATTCATCTGTAGAACAAAGCATATTTGAGGGGCAGGAGCTGGGACCACTTCCTCCCTCTTCCCCACCATGTCCTCTTCTGGAGCACCCAGAAGGTGCTCGACAACCGTGTCAGAACTAAATAAAGAAGCCAAGTGATCTGCTCTTTGAGGCTGTTGAAGACGGAGCCTGGAGCCGAACCCAGGACGCTGGGGAGCTGGAGCTTACCTTTACACTATTGTGCGCCTCACAGTCAGTAACATCTGAGCGCATGAATGAATGAATGAATGAAACCCAGATCCTGGGACCCCCTGCCCAGTGTTCCCAGTCCAATCCCCCTTCATTTCCTGGCAGCGTGGACAGGAGCCAAGCTCCAGCCGCCATCCATGGCAGGCTGAAGGGCCGCCTGAAGCCGGCTGTCAGGAGCTCGTCTGGCCACTGCCGCCAGCAGGGGAGACCAGCTGGCGGGGCAGGGTCCATGGCCCAGGCCTGGAATCTGAGCCGCCCTGAGAGGCCCGGCTCCTGGGGAGGGGGGGCACAAACTGGCCTTTGTTCCCCAGGCCGGCCCAGTCCCGGCAGCATGGCCTTTCTGTGTGCCCGAGGCACCCGCGCAGAGCTGGCGGGGTAACCGGGCCAGCCTCCCCTGGCCATGTCCAGGACGGCGCTTCAGGACTAAATGGAGATGTAATTTTCTATACAAATCCATGACAATTTAGATGGAGTGATTGTAATTGGCTTTTCAATGGGGGTTTTGTCCAGTGCTGGTGGCTAGAACTGGGTGGCCTGTTTGAGACCAGCCCCATTTAAATGACAATAAGGCAATAATATTGAGGACTTGTACGGTGCCCAGCGTCCCTCCTGGGCAGCATGGAGCCTCACACACATGGATCTGGCCCTTCCCCGAGGCTTTCTGGACAACGGGCTCCGTGGAGGGACGGGGGTGAGTCCAGGGGAGGGGCCGCAGCATCTCTGGGCAGGAGGACGGACACAAGCCAGAGCGACAGCTGGGCAGCGCCCCACACCCACTCGCTCATTACACACCACAGAGCACCTCCTGAGGGCGGAGCTAGTCCAGGTGTTAGGGGTGCCTCCACAGAGAACCCTCCCTGGGCAGAAGCGGGTAAGGACAGCAGGCAGGCCAGAGGGAGGAGGTGACACTGGCCAGCAGAGCGTGGTGGTTGAGAGCATGAGTTAGAGAGCCAGACAGCTCGGGGTCAACCCCTACCTGACCCCAGTCTTAGTTATCCATTGCTGCCCTCAAGCAGATGGGATGGCTTTTACAGAGAGAACTGTGTACTGTCCGAAGCCAGGGCGCCAGCTTTCGGGCAAGGCTTTCTCTTGCTGCTGACTCTCCTTCCAGCATCTCTGTGGGTCTAGCATCCCTTGGAGATCACGGCAGGTCTTGGCATCCATCTTCGCCTGAGCCTAGGAGGTTCTCCGAGCAGGGCCCAAAGGATATGCCAGGCTCCCTGGATCTTCTTTCTGGATAGCTCCGAGGTGCCTGTCTTTCTGCTCACTTCCCTTCCCTTTTAGCTCGGGTAAGATAAAAAAGGATGCAGGCCACAAGCCGGGGAAAGTCCCCTTCCAATGCTCAGCACTGTGTCCTGAATAAGGGCGTTGCTCCCTCGCGGTCATTGATTCAATTCCGACTCCTGGCAATCCTACAGGACAGGGTAGAACGTGACTCTTCACAGGAGCAGCAAGCTGAAGCTTGCCCCTGAGGAGCACCTGGGTGGTTTCGACTTGCTGACCTGTAGTCAACAGCTCAGCTCAGTTAGCAGCCCAACTTGTCACCCACTGTGCTACCGCTACGGGGGTGGGGTGGGGGTGGGTGTCATCATCACCTCAGTAACATAAAAACATACCCTAAACCCAGCCGGCCTCGTGCACACAGGGAGGTCAGGGTTTACAAGGCATCCCAAAATAGAGGATCGTGACATCAGGTCACCAAAGGGAGGGCAGCCCCACGATACCTGGAATCACGGCCTAGCCAAGCGGACACACATTCTGGGAGGGCATGGTGCCATCCATGGCCGCCCCTCCCTAGCTGCAGGAGCTCCAGCAAGTTAATGAACCGCTCTGAGACTCGGTTCCCCAGCCCCCCAAATGCAGTCACAGTGAGAGCGAGGGTGTGGGTCCAATGCCTCTATGAGCTTGGCGCAGGGCACCTATATAGGCTCACGAAAGATGCCGTGTCACTGCGGAAGTCCCATGCCAGCCTCCCTTACTGATGTTGGCCTTGCAGCTCCACCTTGGTCAACGGCCACCTGCTTCTCTTGAGACTCGGGCGTTTAGAAGACACGCCACAAAGCCGGGAGCACCTTCATGCAGAGCAAGCACTCCCAGGGGTGGCCATAGTGTCCGTGAGGTGCTTGCCACCCGAGATGGCCGGAATACTGAATGCAGGAGGCAGAGGGTAGAACCATGGCAGGTGGCTTTGCCGGCAGTGGGTGAGCAGCGGGGGCTTTGGGAAGGAGGTGGGTGTGGGTTGTGTTAAGGAAGGCTTCCCAGAGGAGGTGACTCTGGGCTGGGTGGGCCTTGAAGGATGAGCTACACAAAGCGGTGCCCACAGCAGAGACCCAGTGGTCCTGCATCCTGAACAAATGCTTGGTCAGCCTGGGGGGGGTGGGTTAGGGGGTAGGGCAGGGGACAGGGACGCAGGTGCTGGGGAGGCTCTCCTGTCCTTAGGGAGAGGGTGCCTGGTCTTATGCAAAGGCCCTGGGGTGGAAAGGCAGCCAGCATCAGGCTATAGGAAGTGGGCTGCAGGGCTGGGGCAGGGCTGGGGCTTCATTCAGAGGAAGACAAGCAGCTGTGGAGGGATTCAGTCAGGCAGATGGCCCCCCACGCGTACCCCTTAAACTCCGTAAGGAGCTCCTAGCTGCCTGTGGGAAACGGACAAGGGTGGGAGGGTGAGTGAGAAAGCAGGGAGGTCACTGGAGGGCGGCCAGTGGTTGGCTCTGAGAAAGAGCAGGTGCCTGGTCGGTGGGCAGGGGGCAGATGTAGTGAGTGGGCGGGGCTAGTACCCTGCAGGTCAGCAGGGCTGACCAGGAAGGGGCGTGCTCAGAGTATCAGAAAGACGAAGGCCACTTCCCCGTCACCAGGCCAGGGAAGGCCCGAGCTTGCTCCTAAAGGCTGCAGGGAACCAGGCAGGGAAAGCATGATGGAGGCCTGTGCTTTGGAAAGCTCACTCTAGCTGCCGGGTGGAGTGCTCTCGGGGCCTGGAAGCAGAGAGGGAGGGGACTGGGAGGCCTGAGCAGGCATCATGGTCGTCTCTGCTAGACTACTTCCTCAGAGAGGTCTGGAAACCAAGAGCTGGGACTGCACCCTGGGGGAGATTCAACGCCCCGTGCTCATTTCCCCTTTGGCCAGTCTGCCGCCATGGTCACTGCTGAAACCCCTCCGGAACTGTCAGGTATAGAATCCCTCCTGGGGGCTGGCTGGAGGGTGGGGTCCTGTCACTATTCCCATTTCACAGGCGAGGAAACCAAGGCGCCAAGGGCTCAGTCGCTGGCCTGAGGCACAGAGCTGGTAGCACAGAGCCAGGATCAGACGCAGGCAGCGTCCTGCTCCTTAACAGTCCCCACCCCCACCCCCCACAGGCCAGGGGCCGGGTAGGGCCCAGGATGTGCAGAGGCTCACTACCATTTTGCATGTGTCCCTGATATGTGAGGGAGCCCTGGTAATGCGGTCACTCACTCGCTGGGCTGCGATCTGCATGGTCGGCAACCTGAAACCAACAGCAGCTCCAGGAGAAAGACGGGGTTCCACCCCACTAAACATAGTCTCGGAACCCCGCAGGGCACCGCTGTGAGTCAGCACCGATTCTGTGACAGCGAGTTTAGTTTGCTTCTGATCCATGAAAGCCCGGGACGTTGCATAGGACAAAAGAAACCTGAACTTTGGATGGTCCTCGAACACCCACACACGAGGACCCCTAGCCACCCACCTCCAGGTGCCAGTTGGGCATCTCTGAAAGAAGCGAGTGCCCGGGTCCCCCTGCATGGCTGGGGACACATTCATTTGTTCTTCCATGTGGGTGACACCAGGCACTGGGGACCACGGCTGTGTCTTGACTATGTTCCTTCAGCACTTGCAGTTCAGGTCCAGGGTGCTGGGAGGCAGACACCCCAAATCCTCCTCATGGTCCTTGCAAACTCAATGAAGCCAAGCTCACCTACTGACTCAGCCCTCCCCACCCCACCACCAAATCCCCTGCCACACATCCCTCCCAAATACCCCCACTGGAACGTCCCAGGCACCCTGCAGTCACCCCATACCCCAGCCACCAGCACGCTTGTCAGACTGGATGGAGGGAGACACCCAACACCATGTGCTGGGTCCACCCCAGCCTCAGTTTCCTCATCTGTAAGAAGGGGTGGGAAAGAAGAGGTCGTTTCAAACAACTCCCATGACCACCTTCTTCATATCTGTGAGCTGGGAAGAGCCTGGTTCACAAGAGACCATGTTACGATGGGAATTCCTCTGGCATGGGCAGGATACAGGAGGAATGCCACTTAAAGGCAGGTCATCTTGGTACACTTCCCACCCTGCCCACCTGAAGAGTGCTAGGCATACCTTAGGTGCCTATTAAAGACTCTCTAGTGACTAAAGGAGGAAGTTGGAGCCCCAGTGGCATAGTGGTTGGGTGCTGGACCGTCAACTGCAAGGTCAGCCGTTCAAAGCCACCTGCTGCTCCTCTGGAGAAAGACAGGGCTTTCTACTCCCATAAAGAGCTATAGTCTTGCAAACCCACAGTTCTACCCTTTCTGTTTTTGGGTTTATTTGTGGGGTGGTAGTGGTGTCATCCAGGTGCTCCTCCTACCAGGTGCTCCTCCTACCTCGCACCCAGGATGATTCATTAATGGCTCACATTCTAGGCAGTGATGCCGGGAGTGAAAAGCAGCGCCCTGCCACAAAGGACAAGCATGGGGGGAGGGGGTGGGACGGCCAACTCCACTCCTTGGCATGAACTCCCATGTGTGTGATGGCCCCTGGTTCCAAAGTTCACAGACATCTTGTGACTACACAGGATTGGAAACAAGCTAAGGGTCCATATTCAGAGGGCTGAGTAAAGAATGGTGGTGGAGCACCACACAGCTGTCACAGGGAGCACTCACTCCACGAAGGTCCTGACACACGTGCTGAGGGCAGAAACCACAGAGCTCTTTGCAGAAAACACTGGGGCAAACCTTGGGTCAGACAACGGTTTCTTTGCAGTGACACCAAGACTCACTGCCATCGAGCCGATGCCGACTCATAGTGATGCTACAGGACAGGGCAGAGCTGCCCCCGTGGGTTTGTTTCTGAGACTGTCACTCTTTACTGAGTAGGAAGCCTCATCTTTCTCCAGAGGAGCGGCTGGTGGTTTTGTACTGCCAGCCTTGCAGCTAGCACCCCAATGTGTAAGTAACCACTATGCCACCAGTGCTACTCACCCAAAGAGCACATGTTAAAAAACAACAGGTAAGTTGGATTTTATCAAAATGTTGAAAACGTGTGCTTTAATGGACACCCTCAAGAAAGTTAAGACATGCCCAGATAATAGGGGGTGTGGCGTGTGATTAATCATGTATCTGATAAGAGACTTAGAAGCGGAGCAGCAAATAGAGAATTCTGGAAAAGCACCTAATTTTCCAATGGGCAAAGGCTGTGAATAATGCCCATGTCTCCGAAGGAGCTACACACTCGGCCCACAGGCACCTGAAAAGAGGTCCACCGCCATTTGCCACGGGGAAAGGCAATTCCACCCACAAGAAGATGCCGCTTCTCAGACGCTGGGATGGTCAGCATCTAAAACACGGGTGGCAGCAAGTGTTGGGGAAATGACAGCCCTCATTCACTGCAGGCGGAGTGGCAATAGTGGGGCTACTGAAGCTCCTCAGAAGTCAAACACGCCCTGCACCCCCCCCCCAGCAATGGGGAAGACCCAATAGATGCTGTACTCCCAGACAAACAGCCGGGAGACACGAGGTCATCGGTCCACACCGAATTTGGCACACGGATGTTCAGGCAGCAGAACAATGACGAGTGGATCAGCAGAAGGTGATACAGACACACGATGGACTATTACCAGGCCATGGAAAGGGATGGCACTCTGAGACGTGCTATGGCTCGGCTGAGCCTTGAAAACGTTATGCAAGAAGGCAGACCCGAGAGGCCGCTTAGTCTTTGACTCCGAGATAAGAAACAAGAAGCATCCAGGAGAGGCTAATCTAGAGAGACAGAAAAGTAGACCGGGGGTTGCCAGAAGGAAGGGGGGTCGGGGGTAGGGGTGGGGTGGAAGCAGAAGTGACGGCTCATGGTTACAAGGTTTCTGCTGGGGGGGATGAAAATGCTCCCCAAAGTCTCAGAGCTGGTGGCTGCCACAGCTCTGTGGATATGCTAAAAGCCGTCAGACGGGACATCCAATGGGTGACAGGTGTATGGTCTGTGGTGTGTATCTTATCATAGATAGGTACATACATCGATGTATACAGAGCAACTCTATCAATATAGACTGCTAACGTCTCTATCCAGATGGTGTCATGGTTCCGGGTTGGGCTGCAAATCCGCAAGGTCAGCAGTTTGAAACCATCAGCCGCTCTGCAGCAGAAAGACAGGGCTTTCTACGCCCATCAACAGTCGCCCTGTGAAACTCACAGGGACAGTTCCGCACTGTCCCATCGGGTCACTATGAGTCAGCCTCGACTCCATGACAGTGAGCTTATTGGTTTGATATTGATATAACCGTATATATAAAGTATATGTATGTAAAGTAAAAATGAAATATCAGACTATATAGGCATATGTGCTATAAACCAAACCACACGCACTCTCCTTGAGCCAATTCCAATGCATATGGACCCTATAAGGGTTTCTTAGATTATAAATCTGTACGAAGCAGACAGCCTCATCTTTCTCCCAAAGAGCAGCTGGTGATCTCAAACTACTGACCTTTCAGTTAGCAGCCTGACCCACTACAGCAGCAGGACTCCTCAGAGGGGTATAACATATCTCCGGAGAACCTCAGGGGAAGGGAACCAGACGCCTGGCAGACAGGGCTGGGCAGAGGCTGACTGCATTGTAACCGGTTGGGTACCCCATTTTTTTAAAACAATGAGATCCTTTGGGCTCACCAGCTCTGCCAATGCAGACGGCTAAACAGGGACCCCCACTGACAGCCTTTCTCAGTCCTCACCCATCCTGCCAGATGGTTCCAGCACCAGTCCTGCTTCTCCCAGCAAATCCTCTAGCTCTTCCTTCAACACCAGGTGAGCCTCACCTCCACCACTCCCCGGCCCAGCCACCACCCTCTCTCACCTGGATCCTGCACCCGCCCTGCTTCTACCCTCACCACCACCCCCACACACACACCATAGTCCATACTGCACATGCAGCCAGCGGGTCCTGTCGAAATACCAGTGAGGTCACGGCCCACCCCAGCTCCCAGCTCAACATCCTCACAGTGGCTCACCAGGCTCAGCACCACCAGCACCTACTGCCCTTTGACCTCTGCCCTCGACCCATGCACCCTGGGCTCCCCTCCAGTGGCCTCCTCACTGTTCCTCGGGTTTGCAAGGCCTTGTGGGCTTTGCTCCTCTTCAGCCTAGAATACTCGCCATCCATCCACACAGCGGCCCCTCACCTGCAACAGCTCTCGGTTCCCATGCTCCTTCACATGGAGCCCTTCTGGGACCTCCTAACCTGTCAGTGGCTCCTCCCCTTTCCCTCTAATTCCCGACTCTTCGAGACCCCAATAGGGTGACAGAGGCTGTCGGCCTTTACAGGAGCAGTCACCCTCCGCTTCCTCCTGAGAAGCAGCTGGTGGGTTTGAACAGCCAACCTTGAGGGTAGCAGCCTGTTGTCTCCCCAGCAGCATCACCAGGACTTGCAGCACCTGTCACATATATATGGTCTTGTCTGGGGGCTCTCTGGCCACTGGGTGTAAGGTCCACGGGAGACAGGACCGTTCCTTTCCCCAGCACCAAGGACAAGGCTCATGGTTCCAAAACCGCTCCAAACTCTGCCACCCAGTGGATGGGGACTCAGAGTGGACGGTGGAGAACTGCCCCTGGGGGTTTCTGAGACTGGAACTCCTCCAGTCTCCTGAGAGTAGAAAGCCTCCTCTTTCTCCCTCCGAAGCAGCTGGTGGTTTCGAACTGCTGACCTTGTGAATAGCAGCTCAACACAATTGTACCCACTCCACCACCAGGGGAGGTGTTCGCACATACCTATCCCACTAGAAATCGGGTCCTAAGAGACTGTCAGGGAGCAGAGGAGGTGAAGGAGGCAGGAGACCCGAGAGGAAACGGATACCAGAGTGGGGTCCTGAGATAGAAAACAACGGCCAGGAAGAGCCTGGTTACGGAGAGGGACCCACGTGGCTTCCCTGGTTGGGACTCCTGTGCCGGGGAGGTTGAGAAGAGGGCGGCTGAGTGAGGGACATGAGGAAGGGACTGCTTGTGCCATCGCTGCAGATAAACTCTGCAAACGTGCACATGTGGGAAGTCAGTGCAGAGGAGCAAGCTGAACCTCCACGGCACATTGAGAAGCGGGGTGGGGCCCAGGTCACTGGAGAGGGTGCAGGAAGGGCAGGGCTGTCCTGGGCAAGGGCGAGCTTTCATCCCACCACCACAGGCCCTGGACCCCTCGGAGGCCAGGCCCACTCTCCCAGGCAGCTCGCCAGCAAATAAGTGATCCTTTTCTCCTTGGCTCCCAGGAGGCTCGAATGGTCTGAG